TTTTTTTTTTTTTTTTAAGTGTGTTATATAGCTTCATTGTAGTCTTTTGTTACTAGAAACAAGCGCTTGTTTTACTGTCTTTTTAGCCCAGAACTGTTGACAGAGAGGCTGAGACAGAACCCATGCCCTCTCTTCAGTGGAGAAGGCACAGCAGAGAACCCCTGCCTGAGTCTCACTGAACACCGTGCAACAAAATAAATTAAATCAGGCTCTCAATGTAACCTATTCCAAAGAGGAAGTGATTTTAATTTTGATTTGATTTAGAATCTAAATAAATTACACATGGAAAAGAAATAAGTGCTCCCAAACTGCTGCATTGCTCTCAGTCGTGTGCACTTAGGTGTGCGTGTTAAATCAGCAGAGCAAAAGGTATCTTTGGGTTGGGTAAAATTGAAACGGAAACAGCATTCTTTGAAAGCATTTGAGTGAGGACTGCAGTTTCAGATGTTCACCCAACTGCAGGGCTCGCTTGAGCCCACGATGAGATGATTTGGCTTTGCCAGGGAGGTAACAGCCAGGCCCATGGTTTGGAAGAAGGCGATGGTCTAAAAGTTGAAATGGGAAAAGGAAAAGAGAGCGTGGACTTGGAGACTTAATCAGTTAGGAGAGAATAAGGCAGGCTTGCTTAACGCCAGTTATAAAAGATGGGTGTTTTTCACTGGATTCGTTCTTGACAGTGGATGTCTGTCAACATCTAATACTGTAAACAGCTTGCAGATAGGTTCTGTCTACCTGCAAAGCCAGAGGTGGGACTGCTGTGTTTTCCTGAAGAGCTCTTCCTGGCTCAGTCACGTGGAGATGACCACATTTCCAGGTTCCTGCCCTCCTGGAGACCACCTCCCCACATGGGCCTGTTCCTCCCTTCTGCTTTCCTGGCCTAGCTCCTGCGAGGCCGGACGAAAGCACGTCACCTTGACTCTCGACCTGACTCACCGAGGCTTTCAGACCAGTGTGTTGCGTGGGCAGCCCTTATTGATTTATCTTGTTTCACAAACAGGAGCTTTTATTACTTTATTGCCACTGCCTGAGGCCTGAGCACAGGCTGTCCAGCTGCAGGTAAACCTGGTTATGACCCTTTGTGAAGCTGTTATTGAATCTTCTACTCTCCTACCAGTGGTAAAGAAAATGATGAACAGATGGTAGAGGGCCCCGGCTTTCTTAATAAAGAAACTAATATTAATCCAGAATGCTCATAAATGCCAAGCCCCTGAGTCACATGTGTGAGTAGCCTGTGGTGGCCTTGAGCCTCCTCTGTGGACTGTGCAGCTGTGTTTCTTCAGGAATTATTCTTTCCACTTCACCTTGAAGCCTCTGACCACTGTGAGCGGCAGATGCTCTGTTCTCACCCCGGACCAACTGGGCTCCCAGTGTGCACTTTGGCCGAGTTTCCCCCTCTGCTCCTCGTGGAACCGCGAGGGCCCTGTCCTTTTTAATGTCGGGAAGATACCAACTCCCGAGAAAAGCTGTAAGAAGTCGTCATGGGGGAGCTTGAAGGGTGAAGCGGAGGAGGAAGCTGTCGGGGACATAATTGTAGGCAGCTGTGTGGCTGAGTAGTGCACTCTGGGTAATTATCCATAATATCCATTACACTGTGCATGGAAATTGTGGTTTTAGAACTGCGTTTTGGCAGGCCCCCTAATCAAATGTCTTTTGATAGTCATCCAGCTTAGCACCCTCTCAATTATGACTGACTCGGCTTTAATCTGGAGCCATTTTAACTGTGAATCTGCATTAATGAATATTTTGGGGGGTAGGGTTGTTTGTTGAACATGTGGTAGATAAGTGAAGCCATGGGAGGTTTTAAAGGATGGCTGCCAGGAAGAACCGAACCGAACCGCGCTCTCCCTGGACTGCGCCTGCTGTCTCCTGAAAGGGGAGGAGGAGGAGCTGGGTGGGTTTTGTTTTTAACTCTTTCAGCCTCATTCCTCAGATGTGCACTCCCTAAGTGACTAATGGGAGGCGTGAAAGAGACCGAGCTGGTGGGTAGCGTCTGCTTGCTCCCTGTGCGGCAGAAGGGGGACAGCCCCCATCTCCAGCTGCTCTGGAGCTATGCCACGTGCATTGCTATAGAATCATCGTGGTGAGGGCTACTGAATCACAGGGCTCTGCCCCAGGAGGATGAGTCAGTAACTGTGGCTACCAGAGCTGCTGCGAAATCTGCACATCCTACAGAAAGGAACCTCTCTCCAGTGAGCTGTTGCCTGTGCAAGTGACAGCAAAGAAGTCAGCCCTGAAGTTGAAGAATATTCTGAATTGTTGCCCACCACCAAAACAGAGGGAAGTGGCGAGGCGAGGTCTCTGAAATTCCCTCTCAGCACCAGCTGTAGACAGCAGTTAGAGAGGAGGGGTTACAGAGCGTCAGGGCAGGTGACTTTCAGTGATGTCACAGGTTTCCCTTCCACCCCTCTTTCACCTTGGTCGAAGATGTTTATCCTCTGGAACTACGAGGTCATTTTTGGTGACTTCTGCCGTACTGGCTGATTTGGAGGTGGACTTGGGTGGGTGAGATACGGAGGGAAGAAGAGCCTCGGCAGCTGTACGCCAGAAGGGCGTGAAGCACAGGAAGGAGTGGAAAGGACTTTCACGGGGCCTCTTCTTCACAGTGGCGTAGAATCCTGGCTGTTGAGTTTTTCTAGCATAGTTAGGACAGGTGCATCATTCTTCCTTGATAGGTCGGTCCTGGTACTTATCAAAGGTCACTTTAGGATCCCGAATTGAAGAGGTGCTGCTTTCATTTGGCCCAGAACCTTTGTGTGCAGTGCTGTTTGCACTCTGCGTTCCTGCTGCACATCCAACATTTGGCTTTTAAAGATCCCGAGAGAATCCTGCTGTTTTTTCTTAATTCCCAAAGCTGTCCGAAAATGTTAAAAGCTAGACTCCTGCTTTCCATACATTTAAAAGAGCTCTGAGAAAACTCCTGCTTCGGGGTTGTGCTCCCCCTTGATGCTCATCCTCACGAGGAGGGTTTTGGAAATGGGGATACTGAGAACAGAACTTGCTGCTGCCCTGGGAGCCGGGTAGACTCCACTAGGAATTTTTCCGGTTCTAAGGTTTCTTTGCCCAAAGCTCCAGTTTTGTCTCCCCATCACTGCCCCTCGGGTGGACAGGGCTGGGTATAATGTACTTCAGAACTGTTCGGGAGGCCCTGTTAATTTTTCATTAAGTGGATAATGGCCCTGGATGCCTTAATGTCCATTCTGCAAGTCTGCTGGGAGCAGCGGATTGGATGGTGGCAGGCCGAAATGGTCCGATTCCCCCTCGGTCCATGAGTTGCAATAAAGTAAACATCACGCAGCCCCTCTCCAATCTTATTAGAATTGAACTTTTGCTCTGCTGGCCCATTAGCAACTCACTAGTGTGTTTCTAATGTTTCAGGAATGACCATTCTAATTATTCCTTATTGACTGCTACAGAAACCATAGCACTTAATGGCAACATGTTAATGGTCTGGGAGTATTGGTCAATAATTCATATGTGGAGAAACAGAGAGCCTGCATCCTCTGGGATGTTAGCCAAGCCCTCTGCAATCTTAAAGTGCTAGGATTCTTCTACCTCTAAGTCTCACCTCCTAGCAGTTGTAACTAAGTCATCACCTTTGTTCTGTGTCTGCTCTTAAGGGGATTAAATGCTTTCCCTTCCAGGTCAGACAAATGGATCATTGCCAAGGCAAGCAGGTTACAGAGCTGGCACTCCTGGGACCGGGAGGAAACTACAGGCCCAGGGAATATGTTTCCATTGCGTCTTATTTTCCTTGTCCTTCAGGTTGCTCGGCGTTGGGGCATCCAGAAGAACCGGCCAGCCATGAACTATGACAAGCTGAGCCGTTCTCTGCGCTACTATTATGAAAAGGGCATCATGCAGAAGGTGAGCCATGACGAGGGACACTTGGTCCGCTCTGTTTACTTTCAAAGAAGATGTCCAGGGCTTCTGTAAGAGCACTGTGTATAACAGCTAGGAGGAAATGTTAGTTTCGTAAATGATTCTGTAATAGGAAAGAGTCTTGAATCAAACTAGATGTTAAGAATGCCTATAATGCCCTTGGGTACATGCAAGCTATAGGTACATGCTTATGAAAGACACAGTAGGAAAAATGGCCGCCTCTGCAGTACTTAAACTTCCCCTAGTTCCAAAAATGCCCAGAAACAGGCCAACCATTGTATCCATAAAAGAATACATGAGAGAATCAACTTTGAAAGTCTCTACTCCTGCAGAGATTGGTTGAAGTCTTTGGATGTTAAAACACCTCAGCCTCCAAATATGTTGGCTTGATACTATCAGAAGCATTAGAGGAAAGATAAGCTCTTGTTTGTTTTTTGAGACAGGGTCTCACTGTGTAGTTGAGACTGACCTGGAACTCACTATGTAGCCCAGGCTGGTCTGGAACTCAGTGATCCTCCTGCCTCTGCCTCCTGCCTGCTGGCTGGGGTTACAGGTGTGCGCCACCATGCCCGGCTCATGTTTCTTTTTTAAACCTATAGAAACTAGAACTCCAATTAAAAACCCAAGGTTATAAAAATGGCAATAGAGTCACCCAATAGCAGGTTACTCTTTGCAAAAACAAAAGATGAAGCATTATTTTGAGGAAGCCAAGCAATTCAGAATCCTTACCAGAGGGCCAGAGATTTAGCTCAGAGGGTCTTCGGCCTGCCTTGCAACCACAAGGTTCCAAGTTTGATCCCCCATACCAAAAGGGGGGGTACAGAATCCTTACTAGAGTAGATGATGAAGGACCATAATCAAAATCTCACGGATAAGTAGAAGATGGGAATAGAAGATCTTCTTTTGGTCTTTCTTAGCTACCATATTTTATACCAAGCAGGTCCCAAATTCTAGCATGTAGGCATGTAGGCAGCCTACATGGTACAGTACAAATATGCCTTATCCAAAACGCCTGAAACCCAAAGTAGTCCGGGTTTTGGAGTTTTTGAGATTTTAGATTGCGCAGATTTTCCTACTTAGAAAAAACGTCCTTACTCTGTGCGGCCATCACCACAATCTGTTTGAAAACACTTTATAACCCCCAAAGAAGAGAATCCATTCCCATTAGCAGTCACTCCCCATTTTCCCCAGCCCCTGGGCCCCTTTTCATTCGTATCATTGTGTCAATACCTACACTTCAGAAGGAACCATTATTGTTTTACTGTTTGCAGTTCCAAAACCAGACCAACATGAGGGAACGTGGCCGACACACGGTAATTTGGCACGAATGGAAATGAGTTAGTCCTATGACTGGCTTCTAAGTGCCCTAAGGAAGTAGAAGAGAAATTTATCTCTGAAAATGAAATTGGCAAGGAGTATAGGAAGACCTGGAATGAGGTTTGAGTGGGTTGAGATCCTTGTGCTTTGAGGAAAGCCACTTGAGGCCTCAGAGCCTCTATTTGCAGTAAAATAGGCACTCATAAGCCCTGCCATAACCTCACAGGATAATATATTTTGTAATGTTCTGCCCATCCCAACGTAAGAAACTGTTTTATTTACTACACATGAGCTGAGAGTAATAAGAACTAATTGAAAGCTAAATGATGACTCTCAGTATAGGAATAATGATCCCATAGCCTCAATTTGTGAAGGCAGAAATTTGAAGGGCCAGGGATTTAGTTCAGTGGTTCCACTCACTCACTGCCTGCCTCAGAAGCGCAAGGTCCTGAGTTCAATCCCTGATCCAAAAAAAGGACTCGTTAGTTATTAAACCAGGACTGGAAGCCATGTTGTTTTGGCTTCTGGGGGTTTTTGTTGTTTTTTTTTTTTTTTTTTTTTTTTTTTT